GGTTTTCTGTGTATAAGATCATATCATCTGCAAATAGAGATACACTGACTTCTTCCCTACCAATTTGGATGCCCTTTATTTCCTTTTCTAGCCTAATTGCTCTGGCTAGAACCTCCAGCACAATGTTGAATAAGAGTGGTGATAAAGTGCATCCTTGTCTGGTTCCTGTTCTCAAGGGGAGTGTTTTCAAAGTCTCTCCATTTAGGATGATGTTGGCTGTTGACTTTGTATAAATGCCCTTAATTATATTGAGGAAGGTCAGGTACTTTTAAAAGCATAGCAGTGGACGACCATTTAATTTGGGGTAAACAGGCCTCATCACCCCAGTATCTCCCAAGAATATAAGGGTACATTAGTGGATCTTTATAAATACGACTTTGGGCATCAAAAATACTCAGCTGAATAAGACAAGGGAGAGTATAATAATTTCAGAAAAGTATTAACTAACAACACATGGATAATAAGCTTTACTTATTTAGAATTTTCATTTTTCTGGAATACCCCCTCCCCTCCTTTCCTAATTATGCTGTGAAAATAAATTTCACTATTTATTTTCTGGTGGGAGGACAGATTTGGAAAATGTTTTTTTGGCCAGAGTTTTGTTGTTGTTTTTCTGGTAAGGTTTTCCTAATTGAAATGCACAATTAAAGTTGAAAAAAAAATCATTCCTTCACTTCTTGCAGAAGCAGAAAACAGAAGGAATCTTAGCAAATAATTAAACATCTTAATTGTGGATCAGGCAATCTAATTTTAATAGCTGGTTCTAGGAGGCTTTTTGGTGACAGTGCTACAACTTATTTTTAATTGCTGCGGATAATGAGAATTCATCTCATTTCACACGTCATTGTATTGGGCTCTTTGGCATTCTAAATAGTTGCTCACTTCCTCAAAGGGTGATTTAAATTTAAAGTTAGATATTCAGTGGAGAAAATCAATTAATTTTATTCATAAGAAGAGTGATTACACATCTTGGAATTCACATTTATAAACCTGGTTTTAGGAGGATAGGAGAAGCCAGTTTGGAACTTGGTTATGGGACATCTACCAATACAATGGGTGACAAAGGCAGAGTCAAGGGCCAAGTACCTGGGTCCTCAATGGAAAGGTTCTTCATCAGCCACTGCACAATGTCAGTACCTGCAACGATAAAGCAATTTCAAATGAAGACCTCATGGGTGTTTAATCTACAGTAGAAGAAACATGTCTACCTAAGAGACTCTCATTTCCAATTAGTGCACCCCTGGAGAGCTGGATAATGTTGGCATTTTTCAGTCTTAACCAACCCTTTCCATCCATCTGTATACTTCCAGAGTCACAATCCCATTCCTTTCCGAAACACATCCACTGCTGATAACTCAGGATGATCTTGTATCCGCGTTTCTGTTGTTGTGGTTGGATGCTGTCAAGTTGATTCCTACTCATAGTGACCCCATGTGACAGAGTAGGACTACCCACAGGGTTTTCTTGGCTGTAGTCTTTACCGAAGCAGATTGTCAGGTCTTTCTCCTCTGGATCCACTAGGTGCACCAGTATGGTCCTTCCTGAGAATACTGGATTTCGATGACTTCCCCAAGACAGGCTCAGTGAAGTTTTATCATGCCTGGCTCCCAGACCATTCCTGAGGAAGGAGGCCTCTTCAGCTCCCTACTCTTACTGACAAGGACTGATCAACACAGGTGACCTCAGAAGCTCCTGTGAAAATATAAATTTCCCCTGGCATGGGCCCATCCTACATGAAAGTGCCCCTGCACTGCTGGCAGAAACTTCTATGTGCTCACCAAAACCTCTTTCCTCTCCTCCTCAACCACAGCTAGATCCAATTTCCAGACTCCCCTGTGGTTGAGTGTGGACTGAGTTCTGCCAGTGGACGTGGCTGGAAGTGATATATACCCCTTCTAGGCCTGGACCATAAAAACTTCCAGGTGACCCTCCAAGCTTCACACCTTTTGATTACCCCTCTGCTGCTGAATGGAGAGGATCCTAAGGACCCAGGAGGGGCAGAGCCACAAAATGGAAGGAGCCTGGGTTCCTAAACAACTGTGAAAAATAACGCCCATTTTTGGCTCTGATTTGATTGAAAAATAAGCTTTTTGTTGTGTTATACCCCTAGAATTTGGGAATGTATATGTTAAGGCATTTAGTATTGCCTTAACAAATAAAATATTAAGAGTCAGAAGGACTTATAAAGCTTGTCTACCATAATCTCCCCTATGCCATTTTTACACCCTCAAAAAGATATGCTGAAGTCCTAACTCCTGATACCTGTGAATGTCACCTTTTTGGGAATACAGTCTTTGAAGATGTTATCAGTGAATAAGAGGTCATACTAGAGTAGGGTGTCTCCTAATCCAATATGAGTGTGTCCTTACAAAAAGAGGAGACGAGACACAGAGGAAAGCTGGCCATATGAAGATGGAGGTAGAGATTGGAGTGTTGCCTCTACAAGCCAAAAAACAACAAGGATTGCCAGTAATCACCAGAAGCTAGGAAGAGGCAAGAGACGATCTTCCCTATAGCCTACAGAGAGGATAGCCCAGACAATACTTGATTTCAGACTTCTGGCATTTGGAAATTTGAGAGAATAAATTTCTGTTGTTTTAAGCCACCAATTTTGTGGCACTTTGTTATGGATCCCTAGAAAATTAAGACACTTCCCTTTGGCCCTAGTTTTGCCCTCTGATTATAGGAAAACAAACCAGTCCTCTTCTTTGAGACAAATATTTGGACAGTCCTTTTACTATACTATCAAGTCTTCCTGAGTTTTCCCCACTCCAGGCAAAACATGCTTGGATCCCTCAGCTGTTTCCTGGCTTGCAGTCCCTCACCATTTTGGTCACAATCCTCTGCATATGTTGCTTTTTGTTTGCCTCCCTTTGAAAATGTGGCACCAAGAACTGAGCTCAATCTTCTAAGGGCAACACAGTCCACATGGGAGTAGAGTAGTCCAATTTTCTGGAAGGTTCTGAACTTTTGGTCAACCCATCTTTGTTATCCAAAGATCTCTTTTAACCAGTACATACCTTTGATGGTGGCTTTGTCACCTCAGGATGGAATGCTTAATGGAAAACAGCCTGAAAGGGGCAACGTTTCTAGATCTCCCAGTCCCATTGTGGGTCTGAGGCCTTGTTGTGAGGGAGAGGGCCTGCCAATAGCTTGCCTGGGCTGGACTCCCAGTTGAAGGATGGGAGATTCAACAGAGGGGTTTAGTAACTATTGCCTTTTTCTCAGAAATCAATTTCCCTAGAAATTTGACTGGTGGCTGGAAGTGGGATCCATAAAGGCCTGAGTACCTAGACCTTTGGTTCTTGCTTAGCTCTCTGGAAGGTGAACTAACCTGCACAACAGGACTGCCAGGTCCCCATCCTACTCTTCCTGAGGTTTGGCCTCCACTGACAAGAATTTGCAAGCCCCCTGTATTTCACCTCCAAAAGCAGGACTTCCATGCCTTTGCTCACTCTTGCTCACGGATGGCATCTATGAGCTAAACTTTGAACCCAAAACACTCCTATTCATTCACATTCTTTGAGAGAAAGAGAATGTGTGTGTGTGTGCGTGTGTGTGCGTCCATTTCCTCCAAATTATACAAGTTCAACATTTGTCCTAGCAAATGAAAAACAAAGCAGAAATCAAGAAAGAACAGTAATCCCAAGTTGGGGGTGGGGGACAGGCTGTAACCTGTTTTTTCCTCAAAAGAAAAATAGTTCTTTTTTGTGGGTTGCCTAGAAACCGAGAGGTTGCCAGCATCAGCTCCAGCACTCCCCCGGGCGGGTGGATTATCTTTCTGCTGAGCTTGCTGAACCATTATTTATCACCTGCCAAGATTGATTACTCACCCTGGGACAATGACAGCCCTTCCTTTCCCCTGTTAATTACTGTCATCATTAATATCCATGTCACTAATTAGTATTCATTCACATTGAAACTCCTTCCTTGCTACCATATCCGCTCCCCCCTCCACCCCAACCCCAGCCTTCAGCCCATTGTCTGGGTTTCTGTCCCCTTGGGCTTTATGTGCTCCATGTTGGGCCTCATTGTTCATCCCCCGTCTACCACCCCAGTCTGCACTCACAGGGCCCCAAGCTCACATTTCAGCACTTTCTTTTTTTTTTTTTTAATTAGAGAAAGTCACAAAAGCCCCTTTCCTTTTTTCCCTACACTGTGCCCTGGCAGTCCCTTTTCTCATCTGGACACTGGTATGACTGTTCCTAGCTAGCCTGGCCCCACTGCACTCAATCTGCACAGCATGCACGTGGGCACCATCCTGGATGCGCTGTGGACACTCTTTGGTGGATTTCAGCAACCCATGACAACTAGGGGCTGGTGGACATTCGCATTCTCTGGGCTGTGGGTTATTTGAGGTTTTCTTGGACTAATTCAGGAGTCCCTGGATGGTGCAAATGGTTAACACACTCAGCTGCTAACTGGAAGTTTGGAGGTTTGAGTCCACCCAGAGGCGCCTCAGAAGAAAGGCCTGGTGATTACCTACTTCTGAAAAAGTCGCCATTGAAAACCCTATGGAATGCAGTTCTACTTTGACACACATGGGATCACCATGAATTGGAATCAACTCGATGGTAACCGTTCTTTTGGTTGGACTAATTTAAGAGTGGTCAGCCTCCAGCCTTGTGGCAGCAAGTCAACTGTTGCTTGTTTAGCCCCAGGAACAAGGAAGGAAGGGAAATCTGTCATAATACTGTGTTCTTTAAAAGATCTATCATTATTACACCGTAGAATCAGACAAACATAGTCCAAATAACCAACATAAGAAAGCATTTTTAGTCTTCTGATTTCTCTTTCCTTTCTTCTCTCTCTGCTTCCCCTCTTCAGCTCCCAATCATTTTTTCCTTCTTGTTCTAAAAAGAACTTGAAATTGATTATTTTCTGTTCTATCTAAAATTAATTGTTACCCTTTTGTTGGAGCCCTGGTGGCACAGTGGTTAAGAGCTCGGCTGCTAACCAAAAGGGCAGCAGTTCGGATCCACCAGCCACTCCTTGGAAACCCTATGGAGCAGTTCTACTCTGCGCTATAGGGTCGCTATGAGTTGGAACCGACTCGGTGGCAATGGGTTTGGTTTGTTGTTGTTGTTAGATTCTGGTTCTTAGTCAAACTGCTCTGCCTAGTACTCAAAGCCAATAAAACAACAGTAGGAATACATGCGAGGATATTCACCCCTTATTCCCAAATATTCCAAAATGCTTGGCTGAAAGTTTTCTTTTTGAGGTTAATTTATCAACATATATTCCAGGTACATCCACTAAAAGCACAAGAGGGCACCCGAAACACCTCTGCACTGCAAGAGTGTTTTATTAGTGTAGGTAAAATATTTATCACATGTAGGTGTGCATTCCATAGTTTGTTGTACTGTGGTGACCGTAAGTGTTGCTATAACGCTGGAAGCTATGCCACTGGTATTTCAAATACGAGCAGGATCACCCAGGGTGGAAAGGTTTCAGCAGAGCTTCCAGACTAAGACAGACTAGGAAGAAAGACCTGGCAATCTACTCCTGAAAATTAGCCAACGAAAACCCTATGGATCACAACAAAACATTGTGTGACTCACTTGGTTTGGACACATCATTAGGAGGGATCAATCATTGGAGGAGGACATCGTGTGGTGAAGTACAGGGCCAGAGAGGGCAAAGGAGACCCTCAGTAAGCTGGATTGGCACAACAGCCATAATGATGGACTCAGACATGCTGGTGATCATGAGAATGACATTAGGCAATACCTCATTCTGTTGTACCTGAGGTCACCACAAGTCAGAGCTGACTCAATGGCAGCTATCTATTGATCTAAGTGCGCATTATGTTTCATATGTTTCAATATGTGTTACATGTATGTATTTCAAATATGTATTATATATATATAGGGTCCCTATGAGTCGGAACCGACTCGACTGCACTTAACAACAACATTTTATATATGATTACCTTTATTGGAGGGCTGTTCGGAAACAACCCAAAAGTTCCCTAGTAGGGATCTGAATAAATTATGACTCATTCATATAATAAGTGTTTATTGAACACCTAGTATCTTAAGGGAAAAAGCATAGTGAGAACAGTGTATATATGTCAAATGCCAGAAAAATATATTTATATTCTACTAATTATATATGTATAGTATACCCTGACACGG